TCTCGATCTCCTGACCTCGTGATCCGCCCGTCTCGGCCTCCCAAAGTGCTGGGATTACAGGCTTGAGCCACCGCGCCCGGCCTGTTTAATATATTTTTAAAACAGGTCTTAAAGTGTTGCCCAAACTAGTCTCAAACTCCTGGGCTCAAGTGATCCTCCCGCCTCAGCCTCCCAAAGTGCTGGGGTGACAGGCATAAGCCACTGCACCTGGCCGATAATATACATTAAAAAAAATAAACATAAAAGAGCTTCAGGGTACTACTATAGAATGATGTTGTGTTATGAATGACTGTATTTCCAAATTAAAAATTGAAATATGTAATCCTATCAATATGACCAAAACTTGAGTAAACAGATATTAAATGAAATGGTCCCCCAAATTTTCTAGTTAGTATAGGATGCATTATCCATTATACAGTATTGTTATTTGATTATTCAATTACTGGCACGCATGTATTTGAATGACTGTTAGAAAAGAGCAAAAAACAGAACCAAACAAAACAAAAAACCCTGCCTCCCTTTGCTGCTATTCTAGTTCAAAGAACGAAGTTGTTAATTTGAATTATTCGATGAGTGAAAAAATTGGGATCACACCAGTTTCTGATGACTTGCTTTACTATTTGATTTAAAAATAATGTTTAAACCCATAACAGTACGAAAATGTTTCAAGTAATACATTTTGAACCAGCCGTTAAGGAAGGGCTGCCTAATTATACAATGAGCCCCCATCTCTTCGAAAGACCATTGTTCTGTCTTAATTAACATGAAGTAAAACAGTCCTAAAACAACAGGGCACATTCCCATTAGGATAAATTACTCAGACTTCAGCAAGGCAGCAAGTAATTCCCTAGAGTAGAATCTGTCACTGCTTTTCCACCTGCACTATATCTATCTCTCAAAGGACTGGGCTAGAGCTGGGAACCTCCCTCTGGAAGGAGCATCTGTTTCATATTGAATTTGCTCCATTTGTGGCCATGGGTGGAGGGTGCAGCAGATCCCCAGGCAGTCAGCAGAAACACGGCTGGGATGGGACAGATCCTCAGCAGCTGTGGCTGCCTTCGAAGCACTTTTATCCTGCTCATTCTGGTCTCAAATCTTCCACGTGGTATTTCAGTCTGTTGTTGCTTAACTTAATATAGAGAAGAATGGGATGGATAGTCTCCAGAAAAATGCTATTTTCCTTTTTTCTTTTGAGACGCCGTCTCTCTCTGTTACCCAGGCTGGAGTACAGTGGCACCATCTCGGCTTACTGCAACCTCTGCCTCCCAGGTTCAAGCGATTCTCCTGCCTGAAACTCCCGAGTAGCTGGGATTACAGGCATGCACCACAATGCCCGGCTAATTTTTGTATTTTTAGTAGAGATGCGGTTTTGCCATGTCAGCCGGGCTGGTCTCGAACTCCTGACCTCAGGTGATCCACCCGCTTCAGCCTCCCAAAGTGCTGGAATTACAGGCATGAGCGAGCCACTGCACCTGGCCCAGAAAAATGCTATTTTCTTAACAGGATCCATAAACTGGGCATAGAGGCTAGTTAGGAGGCTGGGCTCTGGAGCTGGGCAGAGGTGGCTTTGCCTCTTAAAGGCAAATCAGCTTGCCCCACTTCTTTCATCTCTCTGTCTCAATTTCCTCATCTGTAAAGTGATAAACTCAGTGGCATCATCTCACAGGGTCAGTGCTCCATAGATGTTGGCTATTATGACCCACATATGAGTTGAGTCTGATGTCTCTGTGCACGTTAGAGAAACCCATTCCCCGAACATTTGCATCAGCTGTAGGATACCATGCAGAGCACATTTTTCTTTTCAGTGGGCCTCTGTGTGTTTGTGTGTGCTCTGCACCCTGTATTAGCAAGAACTAGCTAATTAGAAAAACCCCCCAAAATATCCTGTCTATTTCATACTGTCTATTCATCAGTAATGAAATCAGGTTTAAACCTAGAGCAATATCGGTATCTTTTTTTAGCCTATCTTCATTTGCTTATCATATTTCTTCCCCAATTACTTAACATCACAGATGGTGGGACAAATAACTTCTGTGCCCTCCAAGTAACTTTGGAGCTAAACACATTAACTGGCATTTGTCATATAGTGGGGGAGGGGTGGGAACAAAGTGTTTAAAATTAATCAAAATAAAGATGGAATATTAATTCATGACTGAAGATAGTTACAATACTAATGAAGCTCTGACTCGAATGAGTTCTTATTTATTTGTATTTATTTATTTGAGACAGGGTCTCGTTCTATCACCCAGGTTGTGCACCATCACGGCTCACTGCAGCCTCGACCTCCCAGGCTCAACTGATCCTTCCACCTCAGTGTCCTGAGTAACTGGGACTACAGGCATGTGCCACCATACCTGGCTAGTCTTCTGTTTTTTTTTTGGAGAGACAGGGTTTCACCATGTTGCCCAAGCTCATCTGGAACTCCTGGGCTGAACCAATCTGCCCACTTTAGCCTCCCAAAGTGCTGGGATTACAGCCATGAGCCACTGTGCCCAGCCAAATTTTTATTTGTATTTAATTTATTTATGTATATTTTAGAGGTGGGAATCTTGCTGTTTCCAGGCTAGAGTGCACTGGCTATTCACAAGTGTGATCACAGAGCACTACAGCCTCAAACTCCTGAGCTCAAGGGATCTAAGCAACTGGGACTACAGGTGTTTGCCACCACACCTGGCTTTAAATTAATATTTATTCATTTATTTATTTAGTGGGGTTTTTGTTTGTTTTTGTTTCTGCCAAGTGCACAGTATGATAAGTGAATTTTTAGAGAATTTGTTCTAGGCCTGATGCAGTGGCTCACACCTATAATCCCAGCACTTTGGGAGGCCGAAGCAAGAGGATCAGTTGAGCCCAGGAGTCTGAGACCAGCCTGGGTAACATGTTGGGACCTGCCTCTCTGTCTCTTTACATATATAAAAGAATCTTTTCTATAAAGAAATATAATACATGATGACCACATAGTATAACTGGAGGCCCAAGGCAAAGAGTAGAGAAAAATCTACCTTTTTCTTGGCTCACTGCAACCTCCACCTCTGGGTTCAAGCAATTCCCCTCCCAAGTAGCTGGTATTACAGGCATGCGCCACCACACCAGGCTAATTTGTGTATTTTTAGTAGAGATGGGGTTTCACCATGTTGGCCAGGCTGGTCTTGAACTGCTGACCTCAGCTCATCTGCCCATCTAGGCCTCCCAAAGTGCTGGGATTACAGGCGTGAGCCACCCGGCCAAATGCAGGGACTTCTATAACCCATAAAAGGAAATAGAATCTGAATCCCTTGTTTTTACATTGTCTCCACACTCTGAGGGCTAGTCGTTTTTGGGGTTTTTTGTTTGTTTGTTTTTGTTTTTTTTGAGTCAGGGCCTGGTTCTGTCACCTAGGCTGAAAAGTAGTGGGGTGATCTCAGCTCACAGCAACCTCTGTCTCCTGTGCCCAAACCATCCTCCCACCTCAACCTCCTGAGTAGCTGGGATCACAGGCATGTGCCACCACCCCCGGCTGATTTTTGTATTTTTTTGGTAGAGATGGGGTTTCACCATGTTGCCCAGGCTGGTCTCGAACTCCTGGACTTGAGTGATCCACCTGCCTCGGCCTCCCAAAGTGCTGGGATTACAGGCATGAGTCATTGTGCCTGGCAGGGCTAGTAGTCTTCATGAAACTTCATGTGGGAGTAGAATGTTTCTTGATCTGAGAAGATTTTCCCACAGATGCTGCATGAGCAGCCTTCATCCTCCTTGTGTGAACGCCGGACATGGCTGTCATGGGCAGCATGGGATGCAAAAGATTTACCACAGTACTTGCATTTGAAGGGCTTCTCCCCGGAGTGCTGCCTGATGTGTGTGCGGAGTATGCTGGAGGCAGTGAACCTCTGCAGAGAACAGAAACACAGAGTACAAGAAAAAGTCAACTTCCATGAGCTGGACAACCAATTAAACTAAGGCGTTAATTTCATTGTTGCTCATCCTTACAGACAAACCTTGAGTTTTAAGGACAAAGAGCACTTCTGGTCATCAGCAGTAGCCTTAATCAGAAAGGACTCCACTGACGTGTCCTTCTGGCTGGTTTTGAGAAGCACTGGATGTTAGAACAGTGGTTCTTCAGTGGATAGATTATCTGGAGGTCCAGTTTTTAAAAAAGCAGATTGCTGGCTGGGTGCAGTGGTTCATGCTTGTAATCCCAGAACTTTGGGAGGCCAAGGTGGGTAGATCACCTGAGGTCAGGAGTTCGAGACCAGCCTGGCCAACATGATGAAACCCCATCTCTACTAAAAATACAAAAATTAGTCGAGCATGGTAGCATGCACTTGTAATCCCAGCTACTTGGGAGGCTGAGATGGGAAAATTTCTTGAACCCAGGAGGCGGAGGTTGCAGTGAGCAGTTATTGAGCCACTGTACTCCAGCATGGGTAACAGAGTGAGACTCTGTATTTAAAAAAAAAAAAAAAAAAAAAAAGCAGATTGCCAGCCTGGGCAACATAGCAAGACCTCACCTCTACAAAAAGTAAAAAAAAATTAGCTGGGCGCGATGGCTCACGCCTGTAATCCCAGCACTTTGGGAGGCCGAGACGGGCGGATCACAAGGTCAGGTGATGGAGACCACGGTGAAATCCCATCTCTACTAAAAAGACAGAAAATTAGCCGGGCGCGGTGGCGGGCGCCTGTAGTCCCAGCTACTCAGGAGGCTGAGACAGGAGAATGGTGTGAACCCAGGAGGTGGAGCTTGCAGTGAGCCGAGATCGCGCCACTGCACTCCAGCCTGGGTGGGGGACAGAGCGAGACTCCGTTTCAAAAAAAAAAAAAAAAAGTAAAAAAATAACCGTAGGCATGGTGGCATGCACCTATGGGTCCCAGCTATTGGAAAGCTGACGTGGGAGGATAACTTGAGCCCAGAAGGTCGAGGCTGCAGTGAGTTATGATGGCACCACTGCACTCCAGCCTGGGTAACAAAGCAAGACTCTCTCTTAAAAAAAAAAAAAAAAAGACTGGGCACGGTGGCTCAAGCCTGTAATTCCAGCACTTTGGGAGGCGAGACGGGTGGATCACGAGGTCAGGAGATTAGGAACCATCCTGGCTAACACGGTGAAATCCTGTCTCTACTAAAAAATACAGAAAACTAGCCAGGGAGGTGGCGGGCGCTGCAGTCCCAGCTACTCGGGGAGGCTGAGGCAGGAGAATGGCGTGAACCGGGGGGCAGAGCTTGCAGTAGCTGAATCCGGTCACTGCACTCCAGCGTGGGCGATAGAGCGAGACTCCGTCTCAAAAAAAAAAAAAAGGCCGGGCACGGTGGCTCCAAGCCTGTAATCCCAGCACTTTGGGAGGCCGAGACGGCGGCGGATTACGAGGTCAGGAGATCGAGACCATCCGTGGTTAACATGGGGGAAACCCCGTCTCTACTAAAAAATACAAAAAAAAAAAAAAAACTAGCCGGCGAGTGGGCGGACGCCTGTAGTCCGAGCTACTCGGAGGCTGGCAGCGGAGAATGGCGTGAACCGGAGGCGGAGCTTGCAGTGAGCTGAGATCCGGCCACTGCACTCCAGCCTGGGTGACAGAGCGAGACCTCCGTCTCAAAAAAAAAAAAAAAAAAAGCAGGATTGCCAACCCTACCTAAGAGAGTGTGACCCCAAAAATCTGACATGAGACCCAGGAGCCTGCATTTAAACAAGCAATTCTGATGTGGGTCCTAGGATCATACTTCAGGACAAACCTCATTATAGAAGGAGAAGCTAATATCGACCAGAAGCTAATATCGGCCAGTGTCTTTGCATAAGTCAGTGCCTTACTGGTTTTCTTCTTCTTCTTCTTTTTAATTTAAACTTTTTGAGATGGTTTGTAGGTTTGTTTTATTTGTTTGTCTGTTTGTTTTGAGACAGAATCTCACTCCACCACCCATGTCGGAGTGCAGTGGCGCGATCTCGGCTCACTGCAACCTCCACCTCCCAGGTTCAAGCGATTCTAGTGCCTCAGCCTCCCAAGTAGCTGGAATTATAAGTGCACCACCATGCCCAGCTAATTTTTGTATTTTTAGTAGAGATGGTATTTCTCCATGTTGGCTGGTTTCAAACTCCTGACCTCAGGGTGATCCATCCACCTTGGCCTCCCAAATTGCTGGAATTAAAGGTGTAAGCCACTGTGCCCGGCTCAGCGGTGTTTTTCTATGCCAATTATTTTCATTCTATTGACACACACTTTGGAGGTATTAGTTGCCCTAATCTGGTAGACTCATGTTTTTATTCATTTTGAGAGGCTTAGAAGTAGCTGTAGGACAGCCTCTACTTCTTTTGCGGCTTTATTGTAAAAAGTAAATGACTCAGTGACAGAAACATAAGCTATACCAGTGCTTTCCAACAGGACTTTCTGCAATAATGAGAATATTCTGAACCCACGCTGTCCAGCTTCGGAATCACTAGCCACATGGAGCCACTGAGCACGTAAAATGTGGCTAATGCAACCTAGGAACTGAATTTTCCAACTTTACTTCGTCTTTACTAATTGAAATAGCCACATATGATTAACCGCTAACTGCACATTGGACAGCACAGAGCTATTTTGGTGTAATATGTCTAAAGCGTGGTCAACCTATTGTTTCTATTATAGCAACGTCTAACCACATGACTCATTTGTTTTTACAACTCTGTATTCTGTGTAACATAGACTAGATGCCGCTTCTGCAATGCTCCTATGGAAAATTACATCAGTAGCATCCTTCACAGATTAAAGTAATAATAGTATCAGTTAACATTCCAGTACTACTTTTTATGTTGTGCCAGGCACTGTTACAAGAGTTTCATATATTTTACTGATGTTATCCAACAACTTGGTAAAGACTAATCTCCCCAGTTTATCAATGTGGAAACTAGCAGGAGTTCATGGATTTGCTCAGGGTGGCACAGCTAGGTAAGCACCAGAGGCAGGACTTGAAACTTGGCCAAGTTTGTGCTCTTAAATACTACGAAATAGTGAGTTTTTTTTTTTTTTTTTTTAGATGGTGTTTCACTCTGTCACTAAGGCTGGAGTGCAGTAGCATGATCTTGGCTCACTGCAACCTCTACCTTCAGGTTCAAGTGATTCTCCTGCCTCAGCCTCCCAAGTAGCTGGGATTACAGGCATGTGCCACCATGCCCAGCTAAGTTTTGTATTTTTAGTAGAGATGGGGTTTTGCCATGTTGGCCAGAATGGTCTCCAACTCCCTATCTCAAGCCACCTGCCCGACTCGGCCTCTCAAAGTGCTAGGATTACAGGCTTGAGCCACCGTCCCCCCACCTTGTTTTTTTTGAGAGAGAGTGTCTCACTCTGTCACCCAAGCTGGAGTGTGCAGTGGTGCAATCTCGGCTCACTGCAACCTCCACTTCCTGGGCTCAAGCAATTCTCCAGCCTCAGCCTCCCAAGTAGCTGGGACTACAGGCATGAGCCACCAATGCACGGAAAATTTGATTATAAGCGTGAGCCACCACACCTGGCTAGTGCTTTTAAATACTATGTAATAGGTCATCAGGTCTCCATAAATTTGGAATGTATTTTACTACATGTACCCTAAATGCCAGCTTGGCAATAGGAGGTTGGTTATATTTGACCATCTTTAGCAAAGTCGAGCATATTTAGGGGTGGAAATGAGGACTGTGCTGATACTTGACTAACATTTACCAAGAACTCATTAAGCCAGGCTTTGTTTCAAGTTCTTTTTTTTAATTTTTTTTTTTTTTTTTTTTTTAGACGGAGTCTTGCTCTGTCGCCCAGGCTGGAGTGCAGTGGCGCGATCTCGGCTCACTGCAAGCTCCGCCTCCCGGCTTCACGCCATTCTCCTGCCTCAGCCTCCCCAGTAGCTGGGACTACAGGCGCCCGCCACCACGCCCGGCTAGTTTTTTTGTATTTTTAGTAGAGACGGGGTTTCACCGTGGTCTCGATCTCCTGACCTTGTGATCCGCCCTCCTTGGCCTCCCAAAGTGCTGGGATTACAGGCGTGAGCCACCGCGCCCGGCTGTTTCAAGTTCTTATACATAGACACCCAAGCAGAGCTCAGGACACATCCCTTAGTAAGAGGTTCCATTTACCTTAGTACAATACACACACTGGTATGGTCTGTCTCCAGAGTGGACTCGCATGTGTTTGTTAAGGCTGGAAGACTGAGAGAAACATTTCCCACATGTAGAACACTGAGGTGAAAAAGAAAAACATAGTTGAAATCACACCTTCCTCTAACAAGTCCATTTCAATCTTGCATTTACCTGGGGTTAGAGAAGAACTCTTTTTCAAAAAAAATTATTATTTTTTTTTTGAGACAGGATCACAATTTGTTACCCAGGCTGGACTGCAGTGGCACAATCACAGCTCGCTGCAGCCTGGAACTCCCAGGCTCAAGCAATCCTCCCACCTCAGCCTCCTGAGTAACTGGGACTACAGGTGGGCGCCACTAAGCCAGCTAACTTTTTTTTTCATCCAGGCTGGAGTGCAGTGGCGCGATCTCGGCTCACTGCAAGCTCCACCTCCCGGGTTCACGCCATTCTCCTGCCTCAGCCTCCCGAGTAGCTGGGACTACAGACGTGTGCCACCACACCCGGCTAATTTTTTGTATTTTTAGTAGAGACGGGGTTTCATGGTGTTAGCCAGGATGGTCTCCATCTCTTGACCTTGTGATCCGCCTGCCTCGGCCTCCCAAAGTGCTAGGATTACAGGCGTGAGCCACCGCGCCCGGCCCAGCTAACTTAAAATTTTTTTTTTTGCAGAGATGAAGTCTCACTATGTTGCCCAGCCTTGTCTTGAACTCTAACAGATCCTCCTGCCTTGGCCTCCCAAAGTGCTAGGATTATAGCCGTGAGCCACAGCACCTGACCTGAGAGAACTCTTGCTTCAGATGTGGAATGTGGGAACTGAACAAGTTTGTGGTGTATGGCAGAGGCCTGAATTAGTCCTGCTCTCTCAATAGGTAGCTGCGTGACTACAGCACATCAGTTAAATTTGGAATCTTAGTTTTCCGATCTTGCTCATGGGCAAAATACCTGCTCTGCCTTCCTCACAGCACTATGAATAAACTACAAGCACTGTACAATTAACTCAACAATTACCTATGATTTACAGAGTACCTACTATGTGCTCCACACTGCTAGAAACCAGGAGCTAGAAGTCAAGGAGGGGTGGCAATGAACATGTAAGCCTCCATGGCAAGGCACAGTAGCAGATGATCTGAGACATGTTGAACTTTCATGAAGAGGTTAATATTTTGTGCACACGCTGTGAATAATTAATGTTGTTTCTCCAAAGTCTTGACCTTGGCAACTCCTCTCGAAACTGTCTCAGGAATTTCACACCAGGTGAAGTAAACTACTAGAGAGGTGCAAGCACCGGAGGGGTTGCCAGGGATAAAGCAGAAGGCCTTTGGTTTTGACATCACTTTTAAGGAAATTACGTTTACTAAAGAGAAAAAACTATTTTCCTCTGAGAAAGGTTTCCGAGCTTTCACATCCTCTTTCCAGGCATGCTTAGGCGCAGAGGAGAGAGCAGATCTCACTCTGTTGCCCAGGCTGGAGTGCCATAGCACGATCTCAGCCCACCGCAACCTCCGCCTCCTAGGTTCCAGCAATTCTGGCGTCTCAGCCTCTCGAGTGGCTGGGACCACAGGTGCGCACCAAGTGCCCATCTCTACAAAAAATACAAAAAATTAGCTGAGCATGGTGGCACGTACTTATAGCCTCAGCTCAGCTACTTGGGAGGCTGAGGTGGGGGGATTGTTTGAACCTAGGAGGTGGAGGTTGCAGTGAACTGAGATCAAGCCATTGTACTCCAGCCTGGACAACAGAGCAAGACTCTGTCTCAAAAAAAAAAAAAAAAATTTGTTCTCCACTCTACTGTAAGAGCACCTCATCTGTTGAAGAGTAAGCTATCATCTCACTATCACCAGCTTCCTCATCAGTCCTGTCATCTACTGACCTCCTGGTCGACAGTCCTCCAATTTCAAAGAGAACAAGCATTCTATACATCTTCCGTAATCTGGTTTTTGCTTGATAAGACAAATTTTTTTTTTTTTGAGATGGAATCTCACTCTTGCCACCCAGACTGGAGTGCAACGACAGTCTCCGCTCACTGCAACCTCTGCCTCTAGGGTTCAAGCAATTCTCCTGCCTCAGCCTCTAGAGTAGCTGGGACTACAGGTGCTCGCCACCACACCCGGCTAATGTTTTTATATTTTTAGTAGAGACGGGGTTTCACCATGTTGGCCAGGCTGGTCTCGAACTCCTGACCTCGGGTGATCTGCCCAACTTGGCCTCCCAAAGTGCTGAGATTACAGACGTGAGCCGCTGCGCCTGGCCAGTAAGCCAGCATTTATATAATTAGTTTTGTGTTGATGAACATGCAGTCTCAAACTTTTCACTATCAGAATACTGGATAGTTTTCACTTTTGTCAGTCTAATAAGCGAGAAATACCTTCACCATCCTGATATTTTAAAATCCTTTTAGAATTACACAAATACATGATAATTGTAAATGTATTCAAATTTTATAGTATAATAAATATATAGTATATATACACTATATATACTATATATATACTATATATACAAATAATATAGTAATTAAACATGACTTTTCCAGAAGCTTAGGAAGGAAGGAAGAAATAAGGACAATTTTATGATGATTACTCTCAATTTTCAAAAGAGGAAAATGGGCTCAAGATCGTAGCTGCCTGAGGTAGTTCCGACAAGGCCAACAGTTAAGCAAGACTCCATCTGTGTCCTGTGCCTGGCCAGGCGCCGTGGCTCACACCTGTAATTCCAGCACTTTGGGAGGCTGAGGCAGGAGGATCACGAGATCAGGAGATGGAGACCATCCTGGTTAACATGGTGAAACCCCGTCTCTACTAAAAAAAAAAAATACAAAAAATGAGCCGGGCGTGGTGGCTGGCGCCTGTGGTCCCAGCTACTTGGGAGGCTGAGGCAGGAGAATGGCGTGAACCCAGGAGGCGGAGCTTGCAGTCAGCCGAGATCCGGTCACTGCACTCCAGCCTGGGCGACAAAGCGAGACTCCGTCTCAAAAAAAAAAAGGAATACATGTGTGTCCAAGCCTCGTCCTCCTTTTAATTAAGCCTAAGGGTATATTTGTACTTTTTTGCACCAAGCCTAGCAGAGCATCCAGGTATCTGGAATGGCTCCCTAATGTCATTACTGCTTTTCTGTCTTACAAAATCCTCGGCCTGCGGTAGAGGCCTTCCGCTCTTTGGAAGCACCATGCCTTCGCTTCCTCCTCACCTATACCCGTCAACACACTTGCACAGATATGGAACAAGGTGCATTTCTCCAGGAGCACATGCCAGATTCTTTCTTGCCTGGAACGGCTCGACCCTTTTCCCCTGCCCAACTAACCCTGCCACCAGTATAAATCAGATACCCCATTTGTCCTCCTATACTTGGCTCAAGGCCACTTCTGTGCATCTTTCATAATCCACGTGTCCAGGTGGCCATGGACACTCCTTCCTCCACGTTCCTCCCTCTGCTGGTACATGCATCCTAACACGTGTGTATCGCTGTGCCTATTCACGCATGCCTGTTGGGTAATACTATCCTCTCCTCCTTCAGAGAGGGTGTCCGTCGGCAGCACAGCCATGCAGCTAGCACCTACAAGGCAACTCCACGTGTTCAGGAGCTTGGGAAGGGAGAGAGAACGTCATGGCGGGTCGTGTGTCCTCCTAATACTCACCTTGTGAGGCCGGTGCTTCTCATGAACATGAAGAATGTGGATCCGAAGCCTGTCCCGCTTCTCAAAGGACCGTTTGCAGAGAGAACAGGGAAATTTCCTATCGCCCTTGTCCACACAGGGGGTGTACTTGAGGTGCTTATCTCTGTAATATTTGTAGGTAAATACCTTCCCACATCTTTCACATCTGTAGCCTTCTGCAGACTCTGTCAAACACAGCAAACACAATGTCTCTTCAGTTACTTTCCTCCCTAGTTCCTTCAAAAGGATATTTTATTTATTTGTTTATGTATTTATGTATTTATGTATTTATTTATTTTTAGCCAATAGTTCTTTTGGCTACTTAAAGAGGAATTTTCTTTTTTTTTTTGAGACAGAATCTTGCTCTGTTGCCCAGTCTGTAGTGCAGTGGCACAATCTTGGCTCACTGCAACCTCTGCCTCCCAGGTTCCAGCGATTCTTCTGCCTCCGCCTCCCAAGTAGCTGGGATCACAGGTGCCTGCCACCACGCCTGGCTAATTTCTGTATTTTTAGTAGAAACAGAGTTTCACCATGTTGGCCAGGCTGGTCTCAAACTCCTGACCTCAGGTGATCCTCCTCCCTTGGCCTCCCAAAGTGCTAGGATTACATGCATGAGCCACTGTGCCTGGCCAAGATAATCTTTTTTTTTTTTTTCTTTTGAGACAGAGTCTTGCTCTGTTGCCCAGGCTGGAGTGCAATGGCCGGATCTCAGCTCACTGCAAGTTCCACCTCCCGGGTTCATGCCATTCTCCTGCCTCAGCGTCCCAAGTAGCTGGGACTACAGGCGCCCATCACCTCGCCCGGCTAGTATTTTGTATTTTTTTTTAGTAGAGACAGGGTTTCACCGTGCTAACCAGGATGGTCTCGATCTCCTGACCTCATGATCCGCACGTCTCGGCCTCCCAAAGTGTGGGATTACAGGCTTGAGCCACCACGCCCGGCCTATTTTTATTTTTTTGAGACAGTCTTGCTTTGTTGCCCAGGCTGGAGTGCAGTGGTGCGATCTTGGCTCACTGCAACCTCTACAAGTGATTCTCCTGCCTCAGCCTCCAGGGTAGCTGGGACTACAGGGGCGTGCCACCACACTCGGCTAATTTTTGTATTTTTAGTAGAGGTAGGGTTTCACCATGTTGGTCAGGATGGTCTCCATCTCTTGCCCTTGTGATCCGCCCGCCTCAGCCTCCCAAAGGGCTGGGATTACAGGCGTGAGTCACCGTGTCCGGCCAGAAAGATAATTTTTAAAAACCTTTTTACTCCAGAAAAATGTAAACATATACCAAAATGAAAATAATAGTGTAATAAACCCTCAAGTGCCAAACACCAAGCTTTGACCAACTCATAACTAATTTTGCTTTCATTTATATCACCACTCCCCATAGTAGATAATTTTAATACTAATTCATCCTTTGACTCAAAAATATCTAACTGTAATCTTTAGAAGATTACTTTTTTTTTTTTTTTTTTTTTTCTGTCGCCCAGGCTGGAGTGCAGTGGCGCGATCTCCGCTCACTGCAAGCTCTGCCTCCCGGCTTCACGCCATTCTCCTGCCTCAGCCTCCCGAGTAGCTGGGACTACAGGCGCCCGCTACCTCGCCCGGCTAGTTTTTTGTATTTTTTTAGTAGAGACGGGGTTTCACCGTGTTAGCCAGGATGGTCTCAATCTCCTGACCTCGCGATCCGCCCGTCTCGGCCTCCCAAAGTGCTGGGATTACAGGCTTGAGCCACCGCGCCCGGCCGACTTTTTTTTAAAAAGCATAATTGCGGCCGGGCACAGTGGTTCACACCTGTAATCCCAACACTTTGGGAGGCTGAGGTCAACGGTTCAAAAGCAGCCTGGTCAACATGGTGAAATTCCGTCTCTACTAAAAATACAAAATTAGCCAGGCGTGGTGGTGCATGCCTGTAATCCCAGCTACTTGGGAGGCTGAGGCAAGAGAATCACTCGAACCTGGGAGGCGTAGGTTGCAGTGAGCTGAGACTGTACCACTGCACTCCAGCCTGGGTAACAAGAGCAAAGCTCCATCACACACACACAAAAAAGCATAATTGTGCCAGGTGCAGTGGCTCACGCCTGTAATCCCAACACTTTGGGAAGCTGAAGTGGGCAGATCGCTTGAGCTCAGGAGTTTGAGACCAGCCTGAGCAACATAGTAAGATCTCATCTCTATAAAAAAATAATAAAAATTATCTGGGCATGATAGTACACGCCTTTAGTCCCAGTTGCCAGGAGGCTGAGGCAGGAGGATTGCTTGAGCCTGGGGAGGTTAGTTGAAGCTGCAATGAGCAGTGATTGAGCCACTACACTCCAGCCTGGGCAACAGAGCAACATCTTGTCTCAAAAAAAAAAAAAAAAAAAAGCATAAACATAGTGTATCGTTGCTACACTGTCATACCTAAACAATTAACTCTTATTCTTTTATAGAAACATATATGTACTTATATACACATATATATATTTGTTTAATTACTTTCTGATCAGTCCATTCAAATTAGGATTCAAACAAAGTCTACATGTTGTATATGGTTGCTATGTCTCTTAAACATCTTAACCTATAGGCTCTCTTTCCCTTTTGTTCCTTGAAATGTACTATTGAAGAGACCCTTCCACTAGCCCCATTTAAGAGCAGTGCAACCCTGCAGCTCTTGAACACATTCCTGCCTAGCATTTGTTACAAGGTTAATACACTGAGGCCAACCTATTTCTCTTTGTGCCTTTAAGATTAGCCTGAGTTACAAGCTCAGGCAGTCACCAGGACACCTGCAGCTGACTTCCCAGGCTTCACAGTGCTGTTCCATTTTACAAAGTTCGAGGGACCTTCTTAGTTTATACTTCATTACTCAAAACTTGTGGCAGATTCCACAGCTAGAATCTTTGTGTATAGAGTAAGGGTGAAAGCATCTTGTCTTCCCTAATGCACAGGGTTACTGTGATGACTAATTTAATTCTAATACTTACTGAGTCTTACCAATGTGAGTGACACTATCACTGAATGGCAGGTAAGACTGAGAGAGGTAAATCTGTTTTTATCAATGGAGGAGGGAGGAGGAGAGAAGTTAGAGAGGGTGTAGCTAGACTCTAGCAAAGCAGGTCCCACATCCAGGGGTGTCTATGTGTTGGGGGAAGGCGAGAGAACAGGGGCCACCTACAAAAGCATCCCTGCAGAGGACACTCTGGATTCCAGAGGATAAAGTGGCTTTGACTATGAATGCACCACTGAGACTTCATTGTTTGACCCCAGGGAGGAAGAGCAGCCAAGAGTGAGTCTATATGCAAGAGTCTGCAGATAGAAATCTTCTCAGCATCAGGACAGCAGGGAAGCTGTCCATCAGGGACTTTGTTAGTTGACAACTACATCCCAGGGACATTTAACAGGTGGCTAAGGAAATAAACTATTCATTAAGTAAATAACCAGGAAGGCAACTGCCAACCCCAAGCCGATCCATTGCCCTGCTCTGTCTATCACTTTCATTGAGGTGCTAATACTCTCAGAATCCCCGTGCTGGGGCACTTTTTTGGCACAGAGGTAGAATTTTTATTGGTCAGAAATACCTGTCCTTCCTGCTTCCTGGGGTGGGAAGGGAAGAGAGGGTCAGCAATTTTACAAACATAAGCAATAAAGCACACCAAAATTTAGAATAGTTGCAGTACTGGGTTCGCTTAAGAACAACCACTTAAGCAGAAATGAAACCTAATTTCATCTTGTTCCCTATCCTTCCTAATTTTATCTTGTTCCCTATCCTCCCTCTCCCTATCTCTTCACACTCCACACCCCAAAACACACACAGAAATTCCCTCTCCCTCACAAGAGGGGAATGCTTACATATTCAAATAACCCGCCCACATACAGTCTAGACCCTTCCCTCACTACTCAAGACCTTAAAGGGGAAGGCTCCCACCTACCACCAATCCTGGCCAAAAAGCCTTTGGGGAAAAAAACTCATTTGAGAATGCAATGGAATTTTAATTTTTCTTTCCTTTTTATCACATCCAAACCATTCATATTAATAGATTAACAAATTAGCATTCATTTATAATTATTCCCAACAAATTAAGTCGTTTACAAGTCTCCCTCCATTGTCCAAAATATATGTCCTCAAAACAATGCTGTAAGCATCAGGTATCACTTGATTCAGAACTGTAACACAAGTATCTTCTCTACATGCTGGGTTTCCCCCACACTCAACCATCATAAGCGCTCATTCTGTTGCTTGCTCTGATTGCCTCTGATATCTGCATACTATTCCAGTTAATAGCATACAGGTTGAGTATCCTTTTTCTGAAATGCTTGGGACCAGAAGTGTTTTGGATTTCAGGATTTTTTTGAACTTTGGAATATTTCATATACATAATGAGGTATCTTGGGGATGGAACCAAAGTCTAAATATAAAGTCTATTTATGTTTTGTTTTATACATACTTTATACACATAGCCTGAAGGTAATTGTTTTTTTTTGAGATGGAGTCTTGCTTTGTCTGCATCCTCCGCCCCCCAGTTTCAAGTGATTATCCTGCCTCAGGCTCCTGAGTAGCTGAGATTACAGGCATCCGCCAGCACACCCAGCTATTTTTTTTGTATTTTTAGTAGAGACAGGGTTTCACAATGTTGGTCATGCTGGTCTCAAACTCATGACCTCAGGTGATCTGCCTGCTTCGGCTTCCCAAAGCGCTGGGATTACAGGCATGAACCACTGCGCCTGGCCCACCTGAAGGCAATTTTACACAATATTTTGCTTTATTTATTTCTTTCTTTATTTTGAGATGGAGTCTCGCTCTGTCCAGCCTGGGTGACAGAGTGAGACCCTATCTCAAAAAATAATAATGATTTCTCAAAAGGATAATGATAACCATCTTGTCAGTTATTAAGCAAGTACTTTTTTCAAATCCATTGCTCACTTTTCTTTCTTTTTTTTGAGATGGGGTCTCACTTTGTTGCCCAGGCTGGAGTGCAGTGGTGCGATCTCAGCTCACTGCAACCTCTGCCTCCTAGGTTCAAGTGATTCTCCTGTTTCAGCCTCCCGAGTAGCTGGGATTACAGGCATGCGCCACCACACCCAGCTAATTTTTTGTATTTTTAGTAGAGATGGGGTTTCACCATGTTGGCCAGACTGGTCGTGAACTCCTGACCTCAGGTGACCCACCCACCTTGGCCTCCCAAAGTGTTGGGGTTACAGGCATGAGCCACCATGCCCAGCCTGTTGACTTTTATTTCAAAAAGAGTTGGTACATTTCGGGAAGTGACCAACAGGTCTTGGTTTGGTGCTAAGTACGAGACAACTTAGAGCTCCATAGATCATAGAGAATCCCAACCATTTTTGCCTCCATTCCTATCTTTACCTACATTCCCACACCCATACCACCCACCAAAACACTTCTGGTCCCAAGCGTTTCAGAAAAAGGATACTCAACCTGTATGCAGATATCAGAGGTGATCAGAACAAGCAACAGAATGAGGGCTTATGATGGTTCAGTGGCGGGGAGAACCCAGCATGGAGATAAGATACCTGGGGGAGTAGGAAGATAGTTCACCAAAACAATTCTGACAGCCCCTCATCATTGGGACCATTATTTATCATTAGATAAATAATGACTGCTCATTATTTATCCCCTGATTTCTGGTGGACACTTCCCTGCCTTCTGCTTCACTATTCCCTGAGTCTGATTGCCTTCCCTCTCTCCCTCTGCCTTACACGTGCCTTATTTCATCTCATTCCTAAGCAGCTTTTTCCAACTTAGTTCTAATGTCTTCCTCTCACTCAGTACGCACTGGGATCCAGAAGCAGGAGATACTAAGGTGTTTAGGGTTATTTCCTGCCCTGAAGCATCTCAGTCTAGCAGGAAAACAGGCATGCAGATGCAATTCACTCTTTTTTTTTCTTTTTTTGAGATGGAATTTCGCTCTTCTTGCCTAGGTTGGAGTGCAATGGTCCAATCTCAGCTCACTGCAACCTCCGCCTCCCAGGTTCAAGCAATTCGCCTGCCTCAGCCTCCCTCAGTAACTGGGATTACAGGCGCCCACCACCATGCCCGGCTAATTTTTGTACTTTTAGTATAGACAGGGTTTCGCCATGTTGGGCAGACTGGTCTTGAACTCTCAACCTCAGGTGATTCACCTGCCTCGGCCTCCTAAAGTGCTGGGATTACAGGCATGCGCCACTACACCTGGCCCATTTTTTTTAAAAAACCTGTTCCTTACACATTTATTATATCATAATAATTTGCCTTCTCTCTCTCTCTCTTTTTTTTTTTTTTTTGGGACAGAGTCTTGCTCTGTTGCCCAGGCTGGAGTGCAGTGGCATGATCTTGGCTCACCACAACCTCTGTCTCCTGGGTTCAAATGATTCTCCTGGCTCAGCCTCCCCAGTAGCTGGGACTACAGGTGCCTGCCACCATGCCTGGCTAATTTTTGTATTTTTAGTAGAGAAGAGGTTTTTTTGTTTTTTGTTTGAGACAGAGTCTTGCTCTGTTGCCCAGGCTGGAGTACACTGGTGCGATCTTGGCACACTGCAACCTCTGCCTTCCAGGTTCAAGTGATTCTCCTGCCTCAGCCTCCCAAGTAACTGGGACTATAGGTGCATGCCACCACACCTGGTTAATTTTTTGTATTTTTAATAGGGACGGAGTTTCATTCACCGTGTTAGCCAGGATGGTCTCAGATCTCCTGTCCTGGTGATCCGCCCGCCTCAGCCTCCCAAAGTGCTGGGATTACAGGCGTGAGCCACTGTGCCCGGCCTGAGATGAGGTTTTACCATGTTGGCCAGGCTGGTCTTGAAGTCCTGACCTCAAGTGATCCGCCCACTTCGGCCTCCAAAAGTGCTGAGATTACAGGCATGAGCCACCATATCCAGCCTGCCTTCTCTCTTATTTACAGCAATATACATTTATCTTGTATATAAATGTATATACAAGATAATATACCTCCTACTAGATTAGTAGTTCCTAAACTTTAGTGTATCTAGAAATCACTTGGAGAGCTTATTTAACGTGCAAATTCCAAAGTCTCACCCCTGGAGTGGGCTGGTGGCTCCCTAGCCCCTTGCTGCTGGAATGTGGTCCAGGGACCAGGACCAGCAGCACAGCCTGGAAGTTGATAAAACTACCAAATCCTGGGCCGCTACCCTGAATGGGAACCGGCATCATGAAGATCCCCGGGTATTCATTGCCACATTAAAGTTTGAGAGTGAGAGTCCAGCTCAATATTTCTCAAACTTGCCTGAGACCCATTGTAGGCAATGTATTTTATACTCGACACCCAGCATACACACATATGCCCATGTGAAATCGAAATTTCACAAAACAATCCTTACTCTTAAGTGATTCCCATCAATATTTTCTATTCCACTCTACACTTATTCTTTTTTTTTGTTTTTTAAATGTGGGTCTCGACCGCTAAATTGATTTCCCACCCCACTAAGACATGCAACTCTGCAACCCACCATTTGAAAAACACTGCTCTGGTGAATTGACTTCAGCTACATTAGCCTGGGCAGAGATGAATCAGAAACTGGCTCCCCCATGGTAGAAGTTACGTCCATTTAGTACATTTTGTTTTACTCTTGGGGTGGAAGGTCGGGAAGAAGAACAAGTATCTTTATAAACAGGAGTAGCTTCCGCAGCTTTGGGAAACTGAGGATGCTTTCCTTCACCTGGGTAATGCCCTCCTGGTTAGAGATACTCTCGGTTAGTCCTCTGCATTAGCCTTTAGGAGGCAGGAGCTGCGCATGGAGGGTTTGTGGAAAAGAGCCCAGTCCTTCTACTGGAATGCCCTCACTGGGCGACGTAAGGGTGTGCACTCACCTTCAGAGGGCCCAGATGGCTGCTTCCCCGGCTCTGTGACCTGAAGGCTCACAGGAATGTCCAGAAATTTCTCATAGCAGTCTCCATACCACACAAGGAGCTCTTGGTTCTGATGGATCTCTTTGCAGCTCTCATAAAATATATGCCCTTGACACTGCACGGCAACTAGGTTCTGCTCCTTGGGGAAGCGGGCACAGTTGACATAGGACATCCAATTCCCCGTACCTCCTTTTCCATCTATAAAGTGGCTTAAATGACCATCTTCAAATATCTAAATGAAATAAGACATGAAGTTTGTATTGTACTTCTTTTTTGGTCTAATCTACAAAATAATTTTTTAATACTTATAACCTAAATATCACACTTGAGTCCACCAAATAAACTTCTATCATTCCGATTTCTATGTAATTACAAGTGGTTTATAAATCTACTTATGCCAAGGTAGATTTGTTAGTTTAAGGACATCTCTGTAGGTAATGTCACATATTGGGTTTTTTGTTGTTGTTGTTGTTGTTTTTAGAGACAGAGTCTTACTCTGTCGCCCAGACTGGAGTGCAGTGGCTCAATCACAGCTCACAGTAGCCTCGAATTCCTGGGCTCAAATGATCTCCCACCTTAGCCCCCTGAGTAGCTGGAACTAAAGGCATGCACCATCACGCCTGGCAAATTTTAAAAAAATTTTTTGTAGGGACAGAGCCTCACTGTTTCCCAGGCTGGCCTCAAACTCCTGGGTTCAATTGATCCTCCCACCTTGGCCTCCTAAAGTGCTGGAATTATAGGTGTAAGCCACTGAGCCTACCTAATGAAACATATTCTAAAAGATTCTTACTATTATCACTTTTTTGATTCCCAAATTCCTATAGTGAGCATGTTAATTTCATAAACAGAGGTAAGTGAAACAAAAACGTCGTACTTAATTCTACCACTTAAACATAACTGAATAGTTTTACATTTTACTCCCACTTAGTTTTCACGCATATTAATGGAGCTATGAATTATTTCTTTCAAGGCCAAGTTTGGTGGCTCACGCCTGTAACCCCAGCACTTTGGGAGGCCAAAGCAGGCGGATCATGAGGTCAGGAGTTTGAGACCAGCCTGGCCAACATGGTGAAACGCCGTCTCTACTAAAAATACAAAACTTAGCTGGGCATGGTGGCGCATGCCTGTAATCCCAGCTACTCGGGAGGCTGAGGCAGGAGAATTGCTTGAATCCAGGAGGTAGAGGTTGCAGTGAGCTGAGATCACGCCACTGCATTCCAGCCTGGGTAACAGACAAAGACTCCGTCTCAAGAAGAAGAAAAAAAAAAAACACGAAAAATTATTTCTTTCTCTGCTGCTGGTAATTTCACTGTCTCCAACATTTTGTTATTATAAACAACCCTGGGATTAACATATTCCACATAGTCTCGATTTCAGATTGTTTTCCTGTAGTATATTCCCAGAAGTAGAAATTCAGGGTCAAGGGACTTTGAACATTTTAAGGTATCTGATACATTCTGACAAATGGTTTTCTCCTGCAGGTAATAAAATGCAGTCCACTAGCATATCCCTAATATATCATCACTAGATCTTGAAGAGTATGTTGTTTTTTTTAAAATCCTTGACTAATTTTATAGGTGAATAATATTGAATTTTAAAACTTGTTTTTATTCTCTTTAGCATACTTTCAGCACTCTATAATATCTAAAGCATTTGGTTTTGTCTATATATATAATACAACGCATTGATTCTTTAAATGTATATTCCATAGTTAATCTTCCAGACTAAAATGACGTAAGGCACCCACAAAACACAGAATTCATGCAGAGGTGCTATCCTCATGGAGCAAACGCTGGCCATTCCTTCCTTTTACAGGCAACACAAACCACAGATATCTGCCCTGGATGTCCTCTCTCTCTGACCAGGACTCTCCCAGAAAGGCAAAGGCCAAGATTTTCCCCCACTAGTCTCCCGCACCACTTTCAGCAGCAGACCCACCAGAAACAGATTTACCTCCCACATCACAGAATTGTCTCCATAGGTCTTCACTTCACTGGCGTTGACCACTTTACCTTGAAAAGGCCCAAACCTGACTCCTTTGGCAATAAAACTACTGCAGAACACACCAAAATGTGGGACTTCACCAAACACAGTCTGCATGAGGCATAGACCTAGGGGAAAGCAGAGGCAGGAAAAGAGAATGAGGAGAGTTGACTCGGCATTAGTTCAGGGAAAGAAATCCATGCAAGGAGTCCTGCCTACCTTCTGGAAGTTGAAGGGAGTCTTTATCCACAGTTTGAGGAAGAGAATCAGACCCTAGCAAAAGGCAGGTTAAAACAAAACAATTTTTCATTAAAAATGTATTATAGAGTGCTTTTATAAGGTGTTTCCCTCCTTAATTCCCTAGAAGTAACCATCATCCCAGTTTGATGTTTATTTGTTGTTTTTATTTTTCCCTGCTCATTTTACATGGTCTGTTCATATATGATTTCACTGTATACAATTCCATATACAATTTCTCATTTGAGACTCAGAACAGCCTCATGGAAGATTATGTAATTAACCTCATTAGGCAAATTCAGAGAATTTGAGGATCATAGGTAATGCTTGATTAGTCAAGGAAGACTGGTTGGAAGTCCAAAGGTTGGAAGTCAAGGTCAGGGTAGCTAGCTGAGCTAGGACTCTTAGGTGTGAACTGCTGAAGGCTGTCACTGCATGTTAGCATAGAATCTGAACCTACCTGGGAGTTCACTGCAGGAACCATTTCTCTCTTGGTCCTTAGCTCTCACTAAAACCAACCTTGGTCATGCAGTTAAGCAAGCAGGGCCTCAGAAGTGAGCCTAGACGGCCCTGGCTCTCATGGAAATACCTCCCCCTTTCCGCCCTCTGCAGCCTCAGCTCCACCTGGAAGCGCCTCTTCCCCATCCTGCCTGCATTCCCATCCAATTCGACTCCCAAATGGTGTGAACTCCCTTTACCAGAGCTGTCTGTGGGGACCAGGAGGCCTGAAATCGCATGGTGCAGGCTGGCTGGGTGATCCAGGCTGGGAGTGACCCCGTACAGAACGAAGTGCAGGTCCTGCTCCGTGAACTGGAACCGAGCAGGGGACTTCCCTTCTTGGTTGGAGGGTTTGGGACCATTCTCTGACTGCTCGCTGGGTGAGCAAGGTAATAACTGGGAGGTCCTAAGCCCCTCAGGTAACAGAGAAGCATCCACAGGGGGCGGTGGAATTAAAGTGTCAGGTCCACAACACGGGCCACTCTCGTTGTCGCCACCAACGATTTGGTGGCCCAGATCTTCACCGCTGGCAGCCGTGTACTCGTGGCTGCTGCTCAGGAAGGGCGGCACTTCCCTGGGGACGTGGGGAATTGGGTACCACGGTGGCAACTTGCTGTACCAGGGTAGATCGTAGAGAGACTCCCTCTGTAGGCCCAGACCCGGGCTCAGCAAGGTAGGAGCCATCCGGAAGGCGAAGGGGGGAATGGGGGGGACAGCAGACGCGGCGGCCTCCAGCTGCCGGAAAGGTTGGAAGTCTTCCTCCACGGTGGCCAGGCTATTTCTGTAGTGTCCATAGGCCGGGAAAGGCGTGTAGTACGCGGCCAGGTTCTGCGGGCTGCTCTCCGGCGGGTAGCACACCTTGTCCTGAGTCGCGGCCTCACCTGGCGGGGGTAGAGCCATCCCGGGCCCGCACGCTCGGCGGCTCTGCGGAAAAGCGGGCGCCGCTGAGGACACCGCGCGGGAGCTGCCCGGGGTCCGACCCGCGCCTCCCCGCCAGCCTCCTCCACCCGAGCCAGCCCCAGATCCAAGGCAACAGTATAAACGTCCCCAGTGCGATCCCGCCAGCCCTCTCCCACAATTAAGACAAAACGAAAAACAGCAATAGAAGCAAACACAAAAAAGCCCCAAACGGAAATCTGCCGGGATCTCGTCCGACTCTTAACTCCGGGTTAGTGTTGCCTTCGCCTTCCCTCTCCAAGCACCCCTTCCCCAAGCCCGGCCGCTTTCCCACACTCGCTCTCCGCTTTCCGCCCCCAACCCGGTTCCTGCAAAACCCGTTGAAGTTCCCTCTCCTTCCTTCTCCTCTGTCCTACAAAACTCTTTGGTAGGGTCTGAGGGAGCCGCGGGGCCCTCCCAAACCCGGGGCTGGGCCAGGAGCCGAGCGCAGGCGGTCGGAGGGCACTGAAACAAGCGACAGCTCCAGGCGCTCCTGGGCCCTCAGCTGGGAGGGAACAGCCGAGGACCCTGGGTCACACCGCGCAGATGGAGACGCGCTCCCTGAGCCCCCGGGCAGATCCAGGGACACCGCGACCGGCTCCGGCCCAGCGGTCTGACCCCGCGGGTCCTGGCGGTCCTGATGCCCGCAGGGGAGGGGCGCGCCACTTTTGGCTGCCCTAGGATGCACCGCCTGAACCCCTTTTTCCCTTGTGGGCAGCGTCTGCCACATTCCCCGGGTCCCTCGGAAACTCCAGTCATTCTACCAGGACTACTGGGGCCTGGGGTCGTCCCTCGGGAGCCGCGTGGACCAGCCCTGGCCAGGTGGAAGCGGAGAGCCTCGGCGACTGCCAGTCCTCCCGCTCCCGCGCCGCCAGGAAAGGATGGCGTTTTAATAGACAGGCAGCAAGTTCACCGAGGCCGAAGAATGAAGCCCCTTTAGGGCCGGCGGGTCTTGAGATCAATGAGCCCAATAAGAAAACCAAGCAGGGTCATGACTCAGAAATTAAAGAACACGGGGTCAGGAGAAGAGGTCAGCCACAACACAGGCAGCGGCCCGTCTCCTCCCGATCCTCCAAAGGCTCCCCTCTCCTGGCCTCCTCCGACTTCAGGGATCTGCAACTTGGTATTCAAAGCCCCCGAGAGGACAGAACGACCATCCAAAACGAACTGCGCCAGCGAGTGCTGCGGCCCTCCCCAGCGGCCCGGGAAGACCACAGCCCAGGGCCCCGGGCACGCCCTGCCCCGCGCCTACCTCCGACACCACCTCCGAGAGCGCCACAGCGGAGCAGGCGCCTCCAGGGCGCTGCGGGGCCACTCGGGCTCGGTAGACTTCGGGCGGGCCCTGAGGGCTGAGCCAGGATTAAGAGGGCGGGCGGGGCCGCGGGGCATCAAGAGGGCGAGGGTAGGGAAGTGACCCGGCCCACGCAGATCCCCGCGTCGTCTTCTCCCCGCCCACTACTGCCATTGGCCGAATCTCGACTAGCCCTCTGTCCCCTGGGGTCGCGCACTTAACTCATCAGTTCTCCAAACCCTCCCCGGGACCCTAGTGGAGAGCACTCTCCGCTGGCCTTCTAGGGCAGGCACTATTGCCGCTCCAGGCGTGCGGAGTCGGGGAGCAAAAAGCCGGACACGTGTGCTACCCAGGGCCCCCATATAAGGTCCCCCGCGCGCGCACACACCCTGAACCGGAGCCCAGAAGGCCTGACTGGCGTCCCGGGGTCGAGCCCCTTACTCTCCGCTCCCAGTTCGGAAGAGCACAGCCAGCCAGAAGGCGGCGTGTGACCCGCTGGTGCACCTGGTGGGCGTCTGTTCCCGACACCTGGGGATGAGGCGGGCGCGCCTCCAGCGCTAGGAAGCGGCCGCCCGCGAGTCCCCGGCAGTGACACGTGGGGCCGTTGGGCCCGGCACCCCCGACGCTTCCGAGGTTTCGGGTGGTCGTTTTGCTCTCTCGGGGGCTTTTATTCCTTAAGTGGCTTTAAACGACCGAGGATGGGCCTCCTGCGCCGCCGCAGCTGTCACTTCCTTCGGGGAAGGCTCGCGACCTTGGACGCGCAGGCTCTGAAAACCAAAGTCCAGACCCATACCGAGCGCCCAAAGACCGCATTTGAATTCCCCTCGCCGGCCATTGAGGGAGAGAAAGGAGCGCTTAGTTCCATTCACATTCACAGAAGGAAGCGCCGAGGGTGGGGGAAACGCGGTCTTGCCTGGTGAGCCGGGCCAGGTTCCTCGCCTCCCCCCGGCCGCTCCTTCCTCTTAGCTGAATGGGGAGCGACCCGCCCCGGGCGCGGCCCTGGGTGCTGAAGACTGAGGTGCAGCCTCACCCCCGGCCTGGCAGCGGCTTGGAGGAGAGAGGGAAAGGAGGAACGTCCACCCAGCTAAGAGACGCCGCCAGAGTCCCTAAAGCTGGCGGGGGAGGGAGGCCGGGGTCCCGGATCTTCAGAGCGCCCACAACCGGGCTTCTGGGCTTCTCGGTGCGGGGAACCTGACCCTGTAGCCTTCGCTAGGGCGCGGCGGGGCTCCAAGAACGGAGCAAGGAGCCGGACTCGCGCCTTCGAGGGCGCGGGCGGCGTGCACTCAGCCTTGTCTCCCCGCGCGCCCCGCCGCCCGCTCGGCCCCTTCGCTGCACCGGGTCGCCCTGGTCCCCGCGCCCGCCCGCCCCGACGCCTTCGCGTGGTTCTACGCTGCCCGCGGCCAGCCCCGTTTCGCTTCGCAAGGAGCGTGTTGTTTTCTCAATCGAAATGGGATCAAGATCCCAGGGTTTCCTCGTCTTCTTGTTTTGAGGTGATAGGATCTTGGCCGATAGATCGAAAACGTGAAAAGTACCCGTCGCATCTTGTCCGAAGTGCCTCTGTGGAAGGATTGTTTACTTGGAAAAGTAGAATAAATTCTGTTGCCGTTTTCCTTCCGGAGGCGTCGTCACCCCAGAGCTCCTAGACCCACTGGCATTAGCTATACTTCCTCCTGGGCTTCACAGGTAGGATTTCAAGAATGATGTGGGGGCACTTGGGTGGTCTGTGGGTGGCAGGTCCTCAAGAGGCTGTTTTTTTCGTGCACGGAAGTGTCGTAGCTTTATTTTAGCAGAAGCAACATCAAACCTTATCTTGGAGGTTTGTTTTGCAAAGAATCCAGAGTTTACTATATTTGACACTATTTTTAAATAAGACTGGCTTGTTTTAAGGAGTTGGGAGAAATCGATAAAAGAAAAGTCGAAATCCTTGCTTTCCATTTCTACTGTAGGAGATAATCCTGATCAACAGTTTGGTTTGCTCCCTAAACCCATTCCTTAAAAACAAACAAACAAAAACCACTATACGTTTAAATTGTGTAGGATTACGTACGATTTTATAAAAATAAAAATGGAATTATACTTCACCCGTTTCTGCAACGGCCTAGCTCCTACTAGTCATCATTCCCTATCAGTAGAGTGGAATTAATCTTATTTTATTCTTATTATTTTGAGACAGGGTCTCACTTTGTCACCCAGGCTGCAGTACAGTGGTTACGATCTTGGCTCTTTGCAGACTCTGCCTCCTGGGCTCAAGCTGTCCTCCTGTCTCACCACCCGGCCCCCTCCCCTCAACTAAGTGGGACTACAGGCATGGGCCACGAAGCCCGGCTAATTTTTGTATTTTTTTGTGGAGACAGGTTTCACCATGTTGCCCAGGCTGATCTCAAACTACTGGACTCAAGGGATCCACCCACCTTGGCCTCCCAAAGTGCTGGGATTGCAGACCTGAGCCACTGCACTGGAAAATTTATTCTTTATAATGGTTGCATGGTACAGAATTTCCATTTTATAGGTGTGCCCATAGTTTATCAGCCTCCTCTTGAAAGGTATTTAAGTTGTTGCCAGTTTTTCAATACTTCCAGCAACTTACAGAAACACTGATATACAGACACATAGTTGTGCTCCTTGTAGAAGAAATGTCCAAGTGTGAACTTGCTGGATCAACAGGTATAAACACTGATCATTTAAACAAGTACTTCAAGGCTGGGCACAGTGGCTCATGCCTGTAATCCCAACACTTTGGGAGGTTGAAGTGGGTGGATTACTTGAGGTCAGGAGTTCAAGACCAGCCTGGCCAACATGGTGAAACTCTGTCTCTACTAAAAACACAAACATTAGCCAAGCATGGTGGCACATGCCTGTAATACCAGCTGCTGGGGGGGGGGGGGGGGGGGAGGCCTGAAGCAGGAGAATAGCTTGAACCCAGGAGGCAGAGTTGCAGTGAGTCAAGATCATGACACTGCACTCTAGCCTGGGTGACAGAGCGAGATTCTGTCTCAAAAAATACAAAATAAACACGTACTTCAAACCATACCAATTTATACTTCCTCTAGCAGTGAGGGCAAGTGCCTGTTTCTCCATGCCTCATCTAACACTGAATATTGCCAACTCTTTTTTTTTTTTTTGAGACAGGGTCTCGCTCTGTCGCCCAAGCTGGAGTGCACCACAACTGCCCCAGCTCAAGAGATCCTCTCATCTCAGCCTGTCTAATTTTTGTATTTTTTGTAGAGATGGGGATTTCACCATGTTGCCCAGGCTGATCTCAAACTCCTAGGTTCAAGGGATCCACTTGCCTCAGCGTCCCAAAGTGCTGGGATTACAGCCACCATGCCTGGCCTTAAAAATTTTCATTTTCTTTCATAGAGACAGAGCCTCACTCTGTCACCTAGGCTGGAATGCAGCAGTATGATTGTGGCTCACTACTGCCTCCAACTCCTGAGTTCAAGCAATCCTTCTGTGTCAGCCTCCCCAGGAGCTAGGACTGCAGGTATGTGCCACCACACCCGCCTAACCTTTTAATTTTTCGTAGAGGCAGGGGTCTTGCTATATTGCCCAGTCTAGTCTGGAACTCCTTGTGTAAAGCCATCCTCCCACCTCAGCCTCCCAAAGTACTGGGATTACAGGTGTGAGCTACCGCACCTTGGGAGTATTGCCAATTCTTTAATGCTGCCTGTCTTTCACATAAGAAGTAAGATCGTGGTCGGGCGCAGCGGCTCAAGTCTGTAATCCCAGCACTTTGGGAGGCCGAGACGGGCGGATCACGAGGTCAGGAGATCGAGACCATTCTGGCTAACACGGTGAAACCCTTCTCTACTAAAAAATACAAAAAACTAGCTGGGCGAGGTGGCAGGCGCCTGTACTCCCAGCTACTTGGGAGGCTGAGGCAGGAGAATGGCGTGAACCCGGGAGGCAGAGCTTGTAGTGAGCCGAGATCTCGCCACTGCACTCCAGCCTGGGCGACAGAGCGAGACTCCGTCTCAAAAAAAAAAAAAAAGAAGTAAAATCGTATTCAAATTGCCTTTTAGTCATTTACATAACAAAGTTTCTTTTGAATGCCTGCCTATTGATGGGCCAGTCAGCAAGCCAAGTACAGGAAATACAACTGTGAATAAAGCAGTCTTGATCCCCTTAACAGCCTAATGAAGAAGGTCTGTATGTGTGTGAATACTTGATGAATGAGTCACTATGAACTGCAATAAGGAGGGAAGAAAGTGCAGTACAAGTAACAAGCCTCAATGTAGGCTGGGAGTACAAGAGAGTTCTAACCTATCAAATTGGAAAGATGTGTAGAAATGAAGTTGGTGAAGGAGATGAGGACAAGTGGCACTCCAGGGCCACAGAACCCTTGGTGCCAAGGCCCTAAGCCTGGAGGAAGCTTGGCTGATTCACAGAACTGCTGTGGAGGAGACAGCTTGAGGTTGGAATGTCGGCAGACACCAGGTCTCACAGAGAACACTTGCTAAGATGTAAATATCCTTACAGCTTTACTTGCAAGTATTTACCAAGGAGTAGTAAGAAGTCACTGCAGACATCAGCATACTTCATCACTAAAGAACTTCAGCATGCATATCATTAAATAAAATTCAGCATTTGTTTATGGTTCTTTTTTTGAAAGGTAAAATTTACAATGATGAAATGCATGTATCTTGACTGTACCATAAGTTTTGACAGTTGATGGCTGGGTGCAGTGGCTCATACCTGTAATCCCAGCACTTTGTGATTCCGATGTAGGGAGGTCCCTTGAGTCCAGGAGTTGGAGACCAGCTTGGGCAACATGATGAAACTCTGTCTCTACAAAAAAAAAAATACAAAAATTAGCCGGGCATGGTGGTGCATGCCTGTAGTCCCAGCTACTCAGGAGGCTGAGGTGGGAGGATGGCTTCAGCCCAGGAGGTGGAGGTAACAGTGAGCCAAGATGGCACCACTGTACTGTAGCCTGGGTGACAGAGTGAGGCCCTGTCTCAAAAAAAAAAAAAAAAAATTATTGACTGGGTGCGGTGGCTCACACCTGTAATTCTAACACTTTGGGAGGCCAAGGCAGGTGGATCACTTGAGGTCAGGAGTTCAAGACCAGCCTGGGCAACATGGCAAAACTCTGCCTCTACAAAAAATAGAAAAATTA